GTAGAATCTTTAACTAGAAAGCTATGCTATCAGAAAGTTAAACAGAATTTTCTGACCTTTTTTCTTCTAATTTCAAAACACACAACACTTCACTTAACTATAATACAAATAAAAGTATTAAAACAACCTAACACAAAATTAAACACTCAATCATCAATACTGCAATACATTCTATCTCCAACAAAAAATCACACAAACATAACTATAATCATCAATACTCTCTTTATAGCATTTCACTTCATTTATCACTTAAAAAACTTGGTCATTTAATCAAAATTTTAAAAAATCCCAACAACAATCTTAATATTAATCAGATTAATTTAAAAATTCAAAATATCAACTTAAAATCTCAGTGCAACATTTATACCCTTATCATTCATTAATATTTACAACTTAACCAATAGATTCAACATGCACAAATTACTTAAAAACAACTCTACCATGCTCATTATCTTGAAAACTCTCTTTTATTTTATCAACAAATTAAACAAGTTACTAAAAAAAGCTGTAAAACACTTTTTACACATTTCAAACATGATATTAATAGCATTCTTAATTGCTATAAAGCTTCTATTTATTTTTCTAACATCAAACTTTCTGACCAAATAGTTACAGATCCAAACCTTATTAAATACTATATACAATTTCATTTTCATAATTGGATAGCTTATCAACCAACTAACTAAACCCTCTTTAATAACTTTTAGTTTACACAATATCAACTACTATCACATATCAATACTTAATAGTATGACTCTTTTTCTTCTTCTATTACTGAAAAAGAAGTTACTCAAACTATAGCAAAACATTCTAACAGAAAAGTCTGTGGTCCTACAGACATTAGTTATGAAATGCTTAAACATGCTGGCACTATCTGCATTAAGCTATAACTGCTTTGTTTAACTGCTACATTGTTTCAGAACAAACTCCTAAGCAATAAAAGCATAGCAGAATCTACCTTATTTCTAAACAAAATACATTTAATGTAGACCTTAATTTTACCTGTCCAATAAGTCTTATTGAACATATTTACAAAGTCTATACAAAAATTATTATTAATAGAATTAGTAATATATTTTCAAAACATTTTATACTTTCACTATACAACTATGTTACCTTACCTAATGACTGTACTTTTATATCTATTTATATACTTAACAATATTACTAAGAATGCATTATGCAACCAAAAAACCATTTGGCTTCTATCTCAAAATATAAGTAAAGCTTATGATTCTGTCAATTTGAATCTTTTTCAACATTCTCTTTAGTGTCTTACACTTTTTAGTTTTATTATTAACACTATTATTAACTTATTTACTAATTAACAAAATCAAGTTATTACAAATCTTGGCCTTACACTTTCATACTCTGTACTTAATAGTATTGACCAGGATGAAATTATTACTTCTCTCTTGTAGAAAATTTATTATGACCTACTTATTTCATACATTTACAATAACTTTAATGGTTATTCCATAAAAGTTTTCTGGCCAACTAATCTTTAAGACCTAATATATAACAAACTTGAATCGCACTGTTCAGTTCTTGCTTATATAAATGATACTTTTTGATGGCATCCTTATAGCAAGAGCTTTCACAAATTTTTAACATAACAGAATCCTTCTACAATATAGCTAACATTCAAATTAATTCTACTAAATCTATACTTTAATTAATGAATCTTTAACTAACTACAATCCTATTATATACAATAATCATTTACTTAACTTTTATCCTTTAAGTAAACCATTCAAGTTTTTAGATACTGGTTTACACTTAATAACAAACAAACAAAACAAACAAAGCTTATTATAACTGAGTCTTCATATCTCATTAAAATTGCAAACACTAAACAAATTACTGATATACATACATGATATATTATTAATACAATTATTATCTCTACAATCGAATACCACCTTTACAACATAATTCTTAACTAAAATATTTGTAACAAAATTCTTACAAACCACATTGAACTTGTTAAAAACAAAGCCAAACTTAGTCATACAACTCCTACTAGTACTTTAGTTTATCCTTAATTATATAATATTTGCAACATATGAGATATTCAACTACAACACCATATTATGAACTATACCAAAAGACTTAACTGTTCTAATCTTCTTAGTATTAGTACTTGTATTCAATTTTAGCAACTTCAAAATAATCTTTGGTCACCTACTAGTATACTGATACACAATAATTCTACTATTGATGAACCAAACAAACATTTTACTAACTTTAAAATTATTCAACTTTTAAATATCTTAGTATAACATTTACCTCTAACCCAACTTACAATATTCCATATACTATTCAAGAGGGTTCTATCTCATTAGAATCTCTTCTCTGCTCACATCCTAAATACCTAACCTTTAAAAAGCAACTTAAATATCATGGTATCCTATATTTAGACCAACTTACCACATTTGATAATTCATGCTTACTGGACTGAAAACATATTTCTCCTTGTATTCACAAAATCCCAAAAGGCAAACAACCTCTCTAGTTTACCTATTTAGAAGACCAAGTTACAAGTCATTTCTACAACTGTATACTATACTTACACTTTCATCTACCTGATACTAACTACTATAGCTACACAACTGAACACTTCTTATTACAAAAAAAACCTTGTTTTATTACAGTACTTGATAACCAAATCATTACTAGTAAAGTTAGAAGACAACCTTCTCAATTTGGCACTATGCTTATTACTTACTGGCAATATTAAATTGAATCACAATTTACCTACTTAAATTCTCTTGCACCTATTCAATCACAGGCATGTTCTAGTTGTTTCCTTAACTCATATACAATTAAAAACAAATGTATAATTGCTATTTCTACTAATCTTTCAAATTAATTTTTTGGTTGAGTTAACACAAATAACAAAACTCTTAACTTTAATGCTAATTACTTGGACCTTTTATACTCAGTTGCAATTAGATACTCTACTCAAACTCCAAGCTCATCCAATATTATTATTTCAACAAACTTAATCTTAACTATTTTTGTATCCTGTTTACTAACTTATAAACTCCAACAAATTGCCAATTACAATACTAATTAACAAGAACTCTACTTCTATACTGACAGTTTTGTTATTAATTTGGGTACTTCTCAATGCTCTATAGGCATTAGATAGATTCAAGTTGATAATAATTTTATACTACATACATTTCAGACACAAGTCAAACTTTGGCCTTGCTCATTTAAATTAGAACTTACTGCTATCTTATTAGCTCTTATTACTACTCCTAGAAACTGTATTGTAAATATATATGTTGTGCCTCAGACTAATGCTTGTCTCAGATCAAATCTGATGCACCTCAGATGCAAATCATCAGGTGAGATGCATGACTTACTAATCAGTTACCTAAGGTGTCTCAGTAGTGATCTGATGCAGATATCTGTTCTTATTGATCATTAATTTAAAAATAACAATAATGATAAGCAAGTTTAAATAAAAGTAAAATAATATGAGTCAGAATAAAAATAAAGACAATAAAAGCCTTTCTTAAAGTTGGGCTTAATTCTTTCTTTTCAAATCTCTTTGTTACTTTCTACTTACTATACTGTATTGTGTATTGAGTTCTTTAGCACTTTTTTTATTAGCATTAAATTTGAATTCTTTAACACCTTCTATCTGTAGTGATGACTTCTTTCTTTAATAATATACAATAGATTTTTTTTTTTTTTTTTACAAATTATGAAAACTACATTCATTGACAAGAGTGTTCTTGAATATATAATTAAGAACTATATAATGAATCTTCCTAAATCTAAACAGAAAAAAGCTTTAATAAACATTGAACTTTTAGATAAAATAAAAACCATTCTAATGAATTTTAAAGATAATTTCTTATATAATAAAGGCACCTGTAATTGGGCTAAAAAAAGGTTCTGGCTTGAAGAGATTACTTCAGATGATTATAAGGTCCTAGTAAAGGCTTTCAACAAACCAGTCCTAATTGTTAAAAAGTTTTATGAGGTTTAAGTCACATTTATAAAGAAATCTCACAGCACAATGGGCAAAGATAAACCTGAAATGATGTTTGAGATAATTGGGATTAGATAAAGCAAGATTTTGTTGAACAATTTGTTAACAATTGCATAATATGTGTTATTAGAAAACCATCATTCTATCCCTTAGCAGCAATACTAATAATTACAAAAAACTTTTTATCTAGAGTTTAGGTAAATCTTAAAAGTATTATTTATTATTATTGAATTTAATATTAAATTTATTTTTTTTTATTACAGATGGACTTAATTAACTTTAGCTTTGATTCAGATCAGAAATTTAAGTATATGTACCATATAAGGGATTATTTTACAAGATTTTTCTGGGCCAAAGTACTTACTTCAAAGAGACTTATTGAAGTTGCATCCTTTTTGTTTGATTTTTTTCATATAATTGGATTATCACCAACTATATTACAATCTGATAATGGAAAAGAGTTTGTATTACAAGTCATTAAAGAGCTTATTGCTTTATAGCTATTTGTAAAAGTTATCAATAAAAGGTCTTGTCATCTTCAATCTCAAAGATTAGTTGAATGTGCAAATGGAATTTTAGAACAAAAGTTGGGTAAATGAAAAGAAACAACTGGTCGAAGTGACTAGTCTTTTGGTTTAAGGTTAGAAATATATTTTGAAATTATATTTTTTATTTTATCATATAAATTTCTTATATAATAGTTTTGAATATATTTTAACATCTTATAATTAAAGTTCATCATTATGGCTATAAACAATTCAAAGTGACATGCATATAAAAAGACATCTTATGAACTTGTTTATAGAGATAAGCCTCATGACAACTGCACTTTCATTAATAAATTATATGCAAATAATATTCATAATAAAGAAGAAATTTCCAATACAATTGAAATTCAAATAAACAATATAATGAATCTAGGTGATGATATGATAAATAGTAAATTTTTATTTTTATTTTTATTTTTATTTCAGTATTATTTTATATATTTATTATGCATTAGGATAAGATTCAGAATCATAATACTCAGAATTATTATATAAAAAATTGTCATCTTCAAAATTATTATCTCAGAAGCAATTAGTTCAAGAACTATTACCTCAAGCACTATCATCTCAAGTAATATCATCTTAAGCAATATTATCTCAAACATTATCACATTACATAACATCATCTTAAGCATTATTGGCTTAAGCATTATTGCCTCAAGTATCATCATCTTAAGTATCATCACCTCAAGTATCATCATCTCAAGCATCATTACCTCAAGCATCATCATTTCAAGTACCATCATCTCAAACACTATCACCTCAAGCACCATTGCCTCAAGCACTATCACCTCAAGCACCATCATTTCAAGCACCATTGCATAAACAACAAACACTTCAATATAATAATTATATAAATTACTTTATAGAATAATATTTAATTGCTTAAAATAATGATTAATTTTTTTTTTTTACTTATCTAATGAACTTAAAACAGTATTTGAATTTAGCTCTTGATGATATTACAAACTAGGACTATAATGCATAACATCAAATCTTGCAAGATTCAGCCAGATGTGAGTTTCAGTTATATACAAATAAGATGACTAAACAAATAGCAAAAAAGAGAAAATTGATTGATTTTAAAGTTGGTGCTTTGTTCAAATAAATATTCCTAAGATTGATCAATTTGCAACTAATCATTCTAGCCTTTCTTGTAAGGTTATTAAGAAAACTAAAAATCAATAATATTGTTTAGGATGCAAGTATAATATAATTAATGCATATTATTCTGCTGGTGAACTTAAAACATTTGAAGTTGCTGTTTGCTCTAAACTTAACAAGATATTATCAAAACAAATATCTCTTCGAAAAGCAGCAAAGCTTCAAAGTGTTGGATTATTATTAAGCTCTTTTTGCAACTGCAAAAGATTATGAAATAGTAAAAAATATAATTGTAAAAAGGTGAATGAAAAATGTTCAAGCAGATGTCATAGTAGTTACTCTTGTTTAAATAACTATTAGTAATAATTATAGTAGAAGCTTTACTTTTTAATTATTAATAAACCTTAAATAATATTTAATTGCTTTATTTAAATTACTATTTATATAATTTATATATCATTTATTAATTAAATTAAAGCCTTGCATCAGATTACTACTGAGGCACCTCAGGTAACCAATTAGTAAGTCATGCACCTTACCTGATGATTTGCATCTAAGGTACATCAGATTCGATCTGTGACAAGTATTAGTCTAAGGCACAACATATACACAAACTCTCAATCTATAATTTCAAAATACTAAAACCTCTTAAATTTCTCTATTACTCTATTATATACACATACATCATACTTTTCATTTTGGACTACACTTGTCAATTTCATTAATACATATAAAATTTAAATTATCTTTTACAAAGTTACTGCTCATCAAGATAATATATACAATAATTTAGCTAATCAACTTGCATGTAACTATTATAACCTGCTATATCTTACTTTTATTTCATATAATATTTATAACTCAGCTTATACTTTTATTTTTGAGAATTTTTCTCTTGAGCTACCAACTTGTCACAGTATTTATACAACATATTTACGCACTATAGATTACTCAAAACTGCTTTCAAAAATGGAAAAAATCCTTAACCAAATCAACTGTCAGCCATTTGGCTATATATCAACAATAATCAAAAACTTTTAAACTTCTCATATAGCTTCAATCATCTACTCTTAAGTCTTTTAGGATTAAAATTTTATTAGATGAACTTTTTGGCTTACACACTTTACATAAATATTATTACTCATATCTACCTACCTGTTACCAATGTTATCACACCAGCTCTCACCTTCATTAGACAACTTGCCTATCTGATCAACTATTAAATAATCTTATAAATAACTTATTACAATATACTTTTAATATTACTACTTTTAATACTATTTCAGAAATTATAACTAACCTATATTATCAAATCAAACAACTAAACTGCATATTCACTCACAGTATACCAGACCTATCTTTAATTTTTTCAACTTTATCAGGCTTAGTACTAAATGAAATTATTACTATAGTCACAGACTTATTATTTACAAAAATATTTATAACACTTATTACTAAATTTCTACTTTATCTTAATTAACAAAATTTGTACAAAATTTGGATTCTTTACTGTATTTCAAGATTTATAATTTATGTTCTTATTTCTAATTTACTTTTTAATTCTATTTCGCAACTCATGCCAACTTCTTCTTTTAATACTATTAGCTCTAAGATTAATTCTTGATATATACAATAGATTAAATATTAAACTAATCTCTTATACATTATTACTAAACCCAAATTTAGGTGAGCTTTGACCACTCCAGCTGGTTTAGATTGCAGATAAATTAGTCTGAGTTTCTATTCTTGCTATAATATTTTAAAAGTAAATTTAAACTTTATGTACAAATTTTAGTTAAATATTTAATAAAGATAGAGGCATGGTCTCACTATTAATATTAAAATAAAAAAACAATATAAAAACTATCTAATGATATTATACTAATATATAAAATTTTATTATATAAGTAAAATACTATTAAAATATATAGTTGAATTATTTAGTTTACTATTTTCATTAACAGATTGCCTTATAATTATATAAATAACTAAAAAACATTTATATGATTGTAATAGTATTATATATACATAAAACTAGACTAATATATTATATATTTAAATTTTTTTTTTTAACCTTAAGCAGTTACACTAATACTTTATTAAGATTTTTGAAACTATATACATTTATAATTACATAGAATTTCCCAATACTCAAGTCAAGTATCACTTAACCTTATTGGTGCCTAAGTGCAACTTGCTGCACTATCTTAGTTAAAGATAAACTGCTCATTTAACTATTTAAAGCAATATCAAAAAGTCTTTCTCTTTCTGTGACAAGCATATCAATTAACTTCTAAGCTTCTTTCTTCATTTGATTTGTTTTTTCTACTTTCTTTTCTTTTTCTTCTTTCTTTGCCAGCTTATTCTTCTTAGTTTTTTTCTCTGATCTTCTTTTAAATCAAGTATCTTTCTTTATTTTGCTTGTTATATTAATATTCTTTTCTCATTTTTCTACTTTTTCATACTGAACTTTGCATACTTGATCATAAAATATATTCTATACTGTTTTTGTTACTATATCTATGCATTTCTGTATTGCCTGCCTATCTAGAATTTGACTGATCCATTTTTCGACTTTATTTGTTGTTAGCCTTTTTATTAAAGCTGTTTTGTTAGTAATTTCTTCTGCTTCTGTCTTTTTAAAAAATGTCTTATATAGTATTAGAGGCAAAATTCTAACTTTTTCATTTTCTTTCAAGCTATTCTACACTGCTGTTGTTGCTACTTTTGGATTCTTTCCACAGGTTCTTTTGTTCAATGCAGTTTTCTAAGTGTGCTTGAGTTTTCTTTTTACCTTTTTAACATACTTGGCAGTTAGTCGTTGTGTATATTTCTGGTCTTCTTCTATTTAGTTCTTCTAGCATTAGTAGTCTATTTATTATACATTTGATCACTGTTGCTCTTCTTGTATAAGTTTTCTTGTTGTGCAATATACACCTTTTGTTTTATTCATCTCTTTTCAAAAGCTTGACCAATTATATCAAGTGTTCTCAGTTTCTAACTCTAGTACTTGAATTGGATTTGTTTCTTTTCAACTAGCTTCAATTCTGACATTTGCAACTATTTTACAAAAATGTTTTGCTGATATATCAACTTTTCTATTTTTCCATTCTAAGTAATACTCTATTATGTCATACTTGATCTTCTCTGTAACTATTGTTCTTCTACATATTGCTCCTTTTTTTGCAAGTAAATCTGTTCTGTTATTTTACTTATAATTACTATGATTTTTAATCTTAACTAGTTCTATTTTATTGTTCTTGCTTTTAAGTAAACCTATAATATTCATTATCTACATCATATTTTTCTTTTTAAAACTTTTTTATTTTCTATCTCTTGAATTGCTCTGTTAATATGCCTTAATGCTATAAGGCTATCTGTATATACTTCTATATGCTTTCCTTCTGGTATAATTAAAATTGCTGACCATATTGCTACTAATTCTGGTGTTGTTGCCAAGGGCCAACCTTTGAGTTCCAATGCTATTTCTTCCTTTGGCCAGTCTTCTCTGTTATTAACCTGCACCCAACTGATGCTTATCTTTTCTATATTATTTTTCTTTTTCTTTTTATATAATGCACCATCTGTATAAAGGGTATATTTGTCTTTGTTTCTTCTCTTATTTTTTGTTAGGACTTCTATTAAGTAATTTGTACCTTTACTATTGAATTTTTGTTTCTTGATTAATTCTGTCTCTAGTTCTTCTACTTGTTTTAGTTTGATTAAACTTTTTTCTTCTTTTTTCTATTTTTTTATTGATCTGTTTTCTAGTATTCGTTCTAATGTTGCATTAATCTTGTTCCTGCCTTTCTCTACTAATGTTTCTAAAACTGCCTTTATGTTATTGTTTCATCTTATCAATTTTTCACAATTATCTATGCTTTGTTCTGTTCTGTTCTTGCAAATTTTATATTTACTTATCTCAGTATATGTCTTGTTTTTTATTTTCTGTAATAGCCAATACTCAGCAAGGATATTTTTCTTTTTCTTCTTAGATATCTTACTGAGTTGCTGATTGTGTTTTGGTTCATATACAATTCACTCTCTTTTTCTTCTGTCTTCCAATATCTTTGTTTAATTAATCATCAGTGACTGTATATTGTAACTACTAATCTTGTATTGGTTATGTATTTCTCTACTAGTCTGTTTTTTTAACATCTTTTCTTCTATTTCACTAAACCATTTGGCTTTTTTCCTTTACACAACAACTCTAAAAGACTTGAGCTGTCTTCACATACTTAGATTCTCTCTTTTTATATCTACAAGCTGGTTTAGATATATTAAACCTCTTTTATTTATTGTGTTATTGCTTGCTATCTATAATTCAACCTCACTAATTGTTTTATATCTATTCCATAACCATGTACTTTTTATAGGCAATTTTCTGCTCTAATGCTTATTCCTATTTCTCTTACTTTCACTATTGTCTAACAAGCTAAGTTGTATTTTCAATATTTCACTTCTTTTGGTCTTTTTTCAAAGTCCCAAATATCTTTTGCTAAGCCTGCTTTCTGACACCCTTAAGCTATCCTAAGCTTTGTTAGATTATCTAAAGTATCTTTCTTATTAAGTCTTGTAAATAAACTGCTTATTTGTTTTGTTGTTATTTCTTGGCTTAGTGTTTTACAGTTTTCTAGATCTTTGTGTTCAATTATGCAGTTATTTGTTGTTTTTATTATATTATATTTGTGTTTTGCCAAACATATTATTAGCT